GACAAAGAGCAATTTCATGAATATATCATGAAATAACTTAAAAAAGTATATCTTTTGATGTTTGATAAGGTAGGAACAAAGAGAAAAAATTAAGTAAAGTCCATCATTGTAATAAAATTTACTGTCAACAGATCATGAAGTCCTTTCATTTATTTATTACAGACAGCTAAGACAACTGGCAATAAATTTTTTATGCATACACAATGGTGATATTTTTCTTCTTCCTTTATAAAACTTTAGAATATCGAAACAACAATTCATTCATGGTATGTCTCTATACAGTTAAAAAACAGTACATTTGCCAGGTTATAAATGAGGAATGCATTCCCAATAAAAACGGTTATAATCAGACAACATAACACTAGTTATTTATTCAATGAAGCCAAACGTAGCGAATTATATTGAGATGTTTCATTATCTTAATTCTCTACTTTAGAATCGATTACCTTCATCACTATATCCTCAAATAGAACACACGAATTTAATTATGTCTTTCACTAAGACGGAGCATAGTTAAACTAAACATAGGTTTTATAAAAATGAATCATAAAAATATGAAGAGAAAGAACGCAACTTTATTATGCTTTCTAATTTTTCACAATATGAATACACATCCTGTGCTTATTGTTTCAGTTGGTTAAACAAAGTGCTCACCGTCCGATTAACCCTATGAAATTGTTAATTAATGTTTTTATGTATTGAGTAGGTGAAAAAGTATGATTCGTGGAAGGGAAAACATGTAAAATTTTGTTAACCGATTATTGTACTTGCGTGTATATCCCATGATTTTAATGATGGGAAATTATAGACACGTATCTGGTTATTCCAAATTAATGAATGTTCTTTACACATTTAATTAATAAATACTGCAAATTGCATTCAAAAGGAAGCTTTCTCACCAAGAATTTGCTCTGATGTGAATTGAAAACATAGTCATTGTTTGTTCATAGGCTCTTCAGTCATTTGAAAAAAATTGAAAATTTCACTCGAATTGTCTGCTTCAACAGATATTCAAATTATAATGATAGATGTCAACAAAGTGTGGGTGATTTCAACGATTTTTCAAATACTTGCAAAACACTATTTTCAAACAAAAGTGACAACTCCAAACCAAAAAAATATATAGAACACTTTTTGTTAATCGTATCCATATACCAGATGTCACAACAATTCGTATTAGCAAGTATACGACAACGTTTTCAAAACAGTACCAGATGTACAGGGTGATTAATTTTTCTGTGATTTCAAAAATATATTTTTGTGGGGTGGTCCCTTCAATTTTAACAGCACACACTTTTTCCAAGCCATAATATGCCGTGCCGGTGTCAATTTATTTTTGTCAATTGTTCCTGTGGATGTCCAATTCAAAAAGTTTGTCTTTGTTCATTCTGTTTGTTTGATTTAAGAGTATGTTTGGGTCAATTTTCCTGTTTGACCCTGTATAAAAAACAGTTGAGAGGGTAGTACGCAAATGAAGGAAAAGTTGTTGACAGTACAAAAATGATCTTCTCGTTTTTATATCAAACAAAGTCAACGTCTTGACCAAATTAAAAAGTAAAACCAAGTTAGATACATAAGTGGTCCTTCGAGTTTCAATAAGAACAACCCTGTGGAAGATGTCTACTTCACTTACAGTATCTTTGTGAAAAAGTGAAAGAATAAAAGCAAAAGCACCAACAATTTTTCACATATAGTCTGCGAGCATACTCAGAAGACCTGACAGATTTTCAAAGGGGCCTTTCAAGCATGACGTAAGCATATTTATTACAATTATTCACTTATTCACCCCCCCAACCATCCTTGTCAGCAAAAGTGAACAAACCTCTATCCCCCCTTTTCTCATGCTTACATAAACATTGTTACATGCATTTTTCATTTTTCAAACATAGACAATGTGTGCGTTGCCATATGTGTAAAAAAGTAAATAACTACTGCCGTCGTAATCACCATCTAGACCCCTCCGCCCTCTGTGTCATCAAAAATATTTAAAGGCAAAGACCCCCCACCCCCCTTAATATTTCTTCTCCCGGAGGAGAAGGAAATATTGAGAGCAATTAGTTGTTGGTTCAGAGATGCATCAAAAACACCTTCCTGTTCTGGTGCAGGTGTTTTCAGTTGCAGACCTAGGATCTAGGACGACTATCCTCGATAGGAAGACTTAACAGATTGTCTTTGGTCTGGATTCCTGGCCATACTGGCCTGAAAGACAATGAGGCTGCTGACTCCCCTGCAAAGGAGGGTGCTGTAAGAAGCATCATCGGACCAGAACCTGTCATTGGTATCGCTTTTGGCTTTGCCAAATAAAGTTTGAACACCTGGATGCCAAAAAGATTTATGAAACTCTGGCAGAATCTTCCGGGATTGGCTCACTCCAAGGCGTTTATTCACCCTTCGAAGCTTGATACCAAACAGTTGTTGGACTACAGTAGGGATGAACTACGATGTCTAACAGGCCTTCTTACAGGTAACTGTCATTTGAATCATCATAAGCAGAGACTCGGACTGTCGTAAGACAGTGTGTGTCGCCTCTGTTTGGAAAATGAAGAAACAGCATAGCACATACTTTGTGCCTGCCCCGCTGGGGACTGAAAGAGGTTTTTATAGTTCGGCAGAGCCGTACTCTTACCATCTGACCTGAAAGACCACTCACCATACAAACTAATCGGCTTCGTTAAGAAGCTGGGTTTATTTGGTCGAGTGTGAATAGGCGGGTTGCGGAAGAGGGTCGAATAGACCCACTCGCGTTGGACCTAGGTTGGGGGGTAGGGGTCTGCCCCCTACCCCCCAAAAACACAAACCAAGCTCAAGACAGCAGGCGCGCAAAGGAGTGAAACAGCATAGCACATACTTTGTGCCTGCCCCGCTGGGGACTGAAAGAGGTTTTTATAGTTCGGCAGAGCCGTACCCTTACCATCTGTCCTGAAAGACCACTCACCATACAAACTAATTGGCTTCGTTAAGAAGCTGGGTTTATTTGGTCGAGTGTGAATAGGCGGGTTGCGGTAGAGGGTCGAATAGACCCACTCGCGTTGGACCTAGGTTGGGGGTAGGGGTCTGCCCCCTACCCCCCAAAAACACAAACCAACCTCAAGACAGCAGGCGCGCAAAGGAGGGTTACAAATAGAGCAACAGGCGCGCGTGTTAATAAATGAGAATCTTTTTTTCAAATGAAGAAATACATATAAAGTGAGTTCGAATTATATCAAGGAGGTTGCGTACAGCGCCATCTGCCTGCGAATAGATCAAGCAATAATGTTGATATATCAAGGAGGTTACGTATAGCGCCATCTACCCGCGAATAGATCAAGCAATAATGTCGATAATTCTGTCAAATACAGATCTCGATATGAATTGAAAAGGAAAGTTACAAACAAATAAACATACATACATGCAGGTGAAGATAATATAAAGCGTGTAAAAAAGAATGCATTTTATTGTGTGAGTCAATGATAAAATTAGCATTTTTCTTTTTTTTCATGTTGGTACACTCGTCTCGAATATATGTCCACAGTTTCAGCTGTTTAGTATATTTAGTTTGTTGTGAGAGGCATAAAAGTTAGAAGTGTTTTGCGTGTTTGGCTATTTTCTCTTGTCAAAAAAAATGCATCAAAGAATTTGCATCATATTTTGTGGAAGAAATTGAATTAAGTGCTCAAAAATACTTGAAAGGTTGACAGTGGCATACGGTGATTGCACCCTGAGCCAGAAAAATTTTTGAAAGTGGTACAAACTTTCCACAGTAGGACAAAAATATGCGAATGACGATGAAAATATTGAAAAAGTTAAGGCAATTTTTATAGAGAATCATCGAATTACTATTAGAGAAGTTGCTGAGAATGTCGGCATATCGGTTGGCACATGTCATTCAATTTTTTTGAATTTATTTTAATGAAGCGTGTGGCAGTAAAGTTCGATCCAAAATTGCCGAACTCTGACCAAAATAACAGTTGCATGAGCATCGCTCAGGAATTATTGAATGACGTCAACTGGTGCTGAATCATGGATATACGGCTATAACATCTAAACCAAAGTCCAATCGTCCCAATAGAAGAGCCCAGGAGAGACAAGTTCAAAAAAAAGCAAGCCAGGTTCGATTAAATGTCAAGATTTTGCTCACTGTTTTTTTCGATTGCCGTAGCGTAGTGCATCAGAAGTTCCTGCCATATGGTCGTACGGTCAATAAGGAATATTATCTTGTTATGCGTCACTTACGAGAAGCAATACGAAGAACGTGTTTGGTATTTTGGAAAACAATTCATGGCTTTTGCATCACGATAACGCACCTGCTCACTCATTATGGTTTGTTCGTAATTTTTTGACCAAATACATGTCTCAGCCACTGTATTCACCAGATTTGGCCCCCTTCAACTTTTTTTCTTCTTAAGATTGATGAGCCCCATAAAAGGATGGCATTTTGCAACTATTTAGGAGATTAAAACCGAATCGCTGAGATAGTTCAAGATCATAGCAAAAAGTACATATAAGAACTGCTTTAAGATTGGAAAAACACTTGCACAAGTATGTCATATCTGAGGGGACCAATTTGAAGGGGAGATAATTGATATTGATGAATAATTAACTATTTTTCTGAGGAAAATAAAAATTAACCTAACTTTTTCAACAGGCGTAAGTGTATGTTTCTGTATATTTTTTATATTCAGCCAAGTACTTGGATCTCACTAGTCTCACTAGTGACGTTTTTGATTTTTTTTTCTAAATGAACCCAGAAATTACTTTCCTATATATTGATATCCTGTAGAAATATCCCTTGAATGAAGTTCAATCTGCCTTTACTTTGTGTAACCGTCAGTTAATAATAAAAATAATATTAACTGTCTCTTCTATTTCACAATAGATCCTTCTTCAGTTAATCTCCCACACGGTGAGTGGTTCTATTCGACCCTCCACTGCACCCTCCACCCGCGAGGATTTATTGTGGCTCACACCTATTCAATGTATACCTTCCCAACGAAGCCGATTACTTTTTTACTACTACTCACTCTGTACTCTGCCTGAAGTTATGCAACGCGAACTGCATCAAGGAATATTTTCCCGTTGGGGGCGTAGGACTGCTGGGCGATTGTGAACCCTCCCCCCTTGGAGGCGGCCTCTGGGGGATATCGTGAATAATGTTGCTTTGTCTAGGATTGTTCGTTATCATGTCCAGTCTTTCCATTGGCGGCGATCTTGTCCTCTGCGGTGAGGTTGCTTCCCTTGATGCTTTCATTTGGATCTGTAACAATATAAAAATATCCATTATGTTCAATGAAAAATTCGTCTGGTGAAACTTTTTTTGTATCAACCGACATCAGTAGAACAACCGGAATATTGAGGTCTCAGTTCTAAAATTTTTTTATTTCAACAAGTACCCATTAAAGCTCTGAAAACTGCTAGGAATTGTAAAAAAAGCTTCAGTGTCTTCATAATACAAAAAATGAAAATGCCGAATTTTTGAACCCTCCATAAAACATTAAAGTAACGCTATCTAGTGGACTATTAGCGAAACACGTGTTGCGTTTTTGTAGAAGTGTTCAGTGAAAATATCACAATAAAATGTTTCTTGAATCAATATAGGAGGTTATGTCAATATTTCATGTTCCATAAAGGGTGGCTTACATAAATCCCTTCCATTCGTTTTGAAAAAGTAGCTGAGTACTTTTTTATGTAGGACGAAGATAAATTGGTAAGAAAGAAATGGGTCTAAAATTGGACGAATCTCCAATATCACAACCTTCATTTAGAAGTGGAGTCGCGACGTATAGGGGAGTCGCGATGCTTCTATAGGGGGGTCGCGCAAGGATAAAAAACTACCTCAGTAAAAAGTTTATTTATTTCTAAATTTAAGTGATTTTTTGCTTGCTTTTTATTTGGGCCATTGATTAAATATCAACTCGCACAAATACGAGGTGGCAAAGGGAATCAAACACCTCAAGGCCTCAGTTGTTATTTCCGGGTATTCTGTTTTACTTTTTAACCAAAAGCTGACTTGAAATTCAAGTGTAACATCCCATCGGCAGATAACTCCAGCAGATTGTCTTTGAGCTTAGTTGTTAAATGCGCTTCATTTATAGCTGCAGTCAAAAATGAATTCATAGCTCCAGCTTTGCTCAGTGTTTTCCGATATCTCTTGCCCAGAAAAGTATAATCATAATCCTTCTTTCAAATTATGTAACACCGTTTTCATACCAGGTATATACTTCTTGATGTTTATATCTCATCCGAATTCTTCAATATAAGACTGTGTCGACGAAAATGAATCGAAGCTGTTTTGATTTGTAGAGAATGACCACAAGTCGATTTTCTTTGTGAAGCAATGTAATTTGTTCTTTGCAGTGATGACATTTCCATCTCGTCCTTGAAGACTTTTATTCAAGATATTTAAATGGTCAAATACATCAGAAAGAACAGCTAATTTCAAGAAAAAATCCGGGTCACAAATAAATTCGGAGTATTCCGACTTGGTCTGCTGTAAATATATTGAAAGTTCAGCTCGGAGTTCCATTACTCTGGTCAATACTTTGCCTCTCGAATTGGCAATTTCTCATAATAATATTTAGAACTTGACTGTATTCCTGTGGCAAGATTTTGGCCGCAAGAGCTTGGCGATGAAGAAAGCAATGCATCCAAGAAGCGTTTGGCATTTGTTCTTTCAACCTAGCAATAATCCACTTTTTGCACCAGTCATAGCTTTTGCTCCATCACTTCTTTCTCTTGATAAAGTTTCAAAGCAAATAACGCACTGCTCTCAATCACAGTAAACCCGAATTTCAAATAATTGTCATAAAGACCCCCCAGGGGGTCGCGACCCACACGTTGAAAAACGGTGCTGTAATATATCGCGAAATGCTTGATGTTGTAGGGGAAGTGTTAGGAATCACACGTTAAAAAATAAGACCTCGTTAGTCCTTAGCTCGCACAAGTTTCTCAACTTCTGAGAGTTATCTTTCGTATGGGGGCGACAGCTGGTTAACGGAAAAACTGATTTAAACAGATTAAACAGAAGTAGTGATGGAAAATGTGGTTATTCAATTGAAAAACACAGAATGCTTTTCAATGCAGGTAGATGGTTCCGTGGATTAATATGGGGTGGATAACAAGTTCATAACAACCCGATTTATTTCCAAAGATAATGAGAAAAAATCTGTGTTCCTTGGTGAAAGTAAATCGCGTTTGCGAGGTGCAGAAGGGCTTATGGAATCTATTAATATTGTTTTGGCTAATTTAGAATTTAGAATAGAGATAAATTGACAGGACTGACTACATATGGAAAAAGTGCTAACACAGGCAAACACAGCGACTTGTGGGCTCGAATGAAAGAGTATTTGGAAAGAGATGTACTTTGCATTTGGTGTGTGGCTCATCGATCCGACCTGTACATGAGAAAAGGGTCGGGGGGGGGGGGTCGCATAATATTTTTTCTTACTAAGGGGGTCGTGTCATGAAAAAGGTTGAAAAACACTGATTTAGAGTAATGACTACTACCGTAGTCATTACTCTAAATCAGTACCATGATGGAAATACTTGTAGTTGAGGACCAGTTTATTTATTCAACTAACGCGAGTAAAGCAGAGACAGGTAGACTCAGTGGGATAATCATCCATTTCATAAGATTTTCTGGTATTGATATTTATCATAATTACTTTCAGTTATTCCATGTTCGTCTCTTTCGAATTAAAAGTGAGTGTACTGTTTGTACTTCTCTGGAAAGTTGAGATATTTTGTAATGGTACAACGTTTAGCGTCAATTTGTCAGCAACCGAATACAAAAAATTATTGACTAACCATTCATGAAAACTTTTCGTTTATTATACCTTCAATGTCCTTGTCCTTGTAGATTATCAAAAACAAAAACCCAGGCATCGGTTTCCCAAAAAAAGAAAAATGTATCCGATCCGGATTTAATAATGTCAGGACAGACAATTCCACTTTACGCTTCGATACGTTTGTTGGGGGTTAAAATCGACACCAATATATCTTGGCACATTCATGTAGCTGGAATTGCAGAGGCTGCTTCTCAAAAGCTTGGAACACTGCTCCGAATCAGAAAACTCTCAGCAACTTTTGATGCTTTATAGAGCTCAGATCAGACCTTTTTTGGAGTATTGTTCTCATGTATGGAGCTCCGCCCCTAAGCATAACCTGAAGCTGCTGGATTCCATCTGATTGAAGACGCGAACATCACTTGCAACCTTGATAGTCCGGAACATCGAAGAAAGGTTGGGGATTTGTCTCTCTTCTATGGATACTTTCACGGGAAGTGTTCAAGTGACTTGGCACATTTGATTCCACCAAGACCGGTACATATCAGAAATACGCGACGGGCTGTGGCTGCTCATCGTTTTGAGGTTCAACTCAGTACACTTCAAACTTCACTGTTCAAGAACTCTTTTATTTGGAGAACTGCATTTATGTGGAATAATCTTCCTGAGAATGTTTTTCCAAATGGATTTAATCTGCAGCGATTCAAGTCCAATGTAAATCGCTACTTTCGCACAGGCACAGCTCGTAGAGCGCCTTAAGATTTTTCTGTATTGCTTGTGTTTTGCCCTTGAAAAAAGTGTCTCTTCATTTATAACCAGCTTCACTAATTCGGTTACGGCAAAAAACTAGTCCTTTGGTTTTTCAAGACAAGAGGCATACCGCATCGCTTTTTATAATATCTGCTGCAGTTACAGACGACACGTCAGGCCCAAAAACATACAGACCATGGCTGGTAAACCAGGAAACAGATGACCGGTGATAGACACCACCGGTCATCAAAGCCTAAATACCATGGTTATTTTTTGGATTTAGGTACTTTATGTTTGGCGCTTTTCGATCGGATTTTGTGGATTTTTGACACTAACTCGCGCAATACAACTTTAGTGGGTTAGCAACACTGCTCACAACCACAGTACTTAAAGAATTATTATGTGAAATATCGGACAATTGTTAAAACACCCCGTATAAGTACGTTTCAGATTTTGTTTTTATAACTATTCAGTTGCAAAATATTGAAAACAACACATTATCTTACGGCATAAATCACTAATTTAATTAACAACACAACTCAATAAGTTTCTCAATAACCCCCTACCTGATAATTCCAACGGTCTTCGTCCAACGCACCATAATTAATTTGCGAACTTTCCATAACCACACTTTCAATTCATCCTAGACTGTACAGTTAACTGATACTGCCAGTTTGTTTTCCAAACTATAATTTATACATTAATTGATTCAATTCAGTTCGACGCAATCAATGTATCTTCAATTTGTAAGGAGCTAGAATATGTATCTTCTGATCGTTTTCAGGAACCAATTGATTAGTTCAATGTTGAATGAACCGCATTGCATATAGTCTCGCGAAACATATGGCATCTTTAAGAGAGAAAACAACTATGCGATGACAAGAATATAACAGCATAATTTCAATTCACTTAGGTAGATATATGAAGTCACTGATCAGTGGTGGTTCAATTTCAAACAGTGTTCAGAGTTTTATACAGTGTGACAATTTAAAATCTCACAATGTAGTATGTATTAAAGAATGACAGAAAAACCCATCTCCATTAACCCTTTAGGCCGCAATAAAAGTAATCAAGAAAAAATCACTAGCAAATCCCCACAACCTGTGAAAATCCTATTAAAAGTGCAATTCAAAGGTAAAAATGATGATTGTTCAAAGTATTGAAAATGAAAACTTATCTGCCGATTTCGCGAAAAGAAACTGTGGACATTTTTTTGGGGTCCTTTTGCAGTCCAAAATGTAAGGTATTATTTAAGACATACAAACGTCATTACTGTTAATCATTTGTACATTTTATCCCAAACACATGTGCTACAGACTTGGAACAGATAATATTTGAGAATATCCACACAAAAAACTCACCTATAAATCTATAACCCAACCCCTACGAAGTCGAAGAGAAAAATTTCCCATCAAAAACCTAACTAACCTACAAAGTTGGAGAGAACTGCTAATGAAGATATAAAAAAGACACGGAAGTTCTTAATCACTTCATCCTTGCAATCAGGTAAAATAACTTAAATATTTCATTGAGGAAGGTCAACGAACGAAATTGGTTTACCTGATTTTTTTTGAAGATATCACATTGAGATTTTATAAATTGAGAGTACATTCAATTTTAATGCAAAAAATCCACATGATTGAATGAAAATTATGTTTCTTTCACAAAATCTCTACCACATATAATTGAACCTCGAGGTCATTAATTCGAACTGTATGCAATG